CAACCAGCTGCTCTTCCCCTTCCCCCCATGTTTACCCTCAGTATCAAAGCCTCACACTCTGTGTAGTGGTAGGGGGAAGTAATTGAAGCAGAATAATAATTGAATAATAATTGAAGGAGAAAAGTAGTGGGAGGGGAAGTGTCAAAACATACACCTTCTTGCCACTTGTTTGCCCCAAATTTCCCTCAGTAGAAGCATTCACGGTGAATTTGTTTGCATGTAACCCACTGTTCTATCCTAACTGTATAGTCTTTAGCCTGAATACTCCATGGAGATTACAGTCTATTGAAGCACTGAAACTACTGTGCGGTAAGTGGGGTGAGGACTGTGCTATCAAGAATCTTCCTTCACATCTTCCTGTATGTTTACTTAACTCACCATGCATGAGATTGGCACCATGGCTGTTCTATGTTCTGCTGACCTGTGCCCCATATTGGCCATATAATTATGTAGCTTCTTCTAATGAGTCCTGGTATAGGCCCACTGATTTTAATGGGATTTAAAATGATTACTGTGGGACAAATGGTTTGAAAAGAGCAGGCTTTATTTCCTCTTACAATTATTTTGAAAATATGACTAGTCACCTTCTTTTCTGATGCTGGATATCTCAAGTATCATTATGGCAACTTTAATATATTTATTAGGAATTACAACCTATAGTAGGATTTGGTGGTTCTCTTTGGTCCTATTATTTGCAGCTTGTAGTGTTTAAGGTGCAATATAATAATCTTTGGTTATTTCACCTAAGCATATCGATCCCGTTAAGGTTACACTGGTTTATGAGCAGACAAGTTTACTCATAGCTGCCTGTCACCGTTGCACTATGAAGAATCTTAGAATCCACTAGGCAGTCAACAGTGCCCATGGGTTGCAAAGCTAGTTTCACACTTCTAAAGGTGCTTTGGGCTTTTCTTGAACATCACATACACATACACACACCCCAATGCTGTCATGAAAAAGAAATCCGAAATCACAGGAAAAATCAGTTTTGTTGTGGCATGGTGGTCTGATGCTCAAAGAAAAGACCTCCCCCCAAAATACCTCTAGGAGAACAAAATTACTTAGGCTCTCAGAATCTTAATCAGTTGCTAATCATATTTATACTACTATTATCTTATTAATAATGCTTGGCAATTGCAGTTAAAGGAATTGGGAAAGTTGCTGCTTTCTGTGAGACTCTGGAGAGCTGCTTCCAGCCAGGCAGAGTAGATGGAGGTGAATGGACCATTGGTCTGACTTAGAAAAAAGCAGCTGAATGTGTTCATATACGATTAATTTTATCATATTGTAATACTATTTAATAACCATGTGGGAGCTTTTCAACTCAAAGACAGATTAATAATATAATATACATCAACAATCTAGGAACTTTACAAATGATAAATCATTCTTTTTAAAAAAGGTTTTGACCATGGCAAAAAACCCTCTTACTTCCCATGATCTCGATACTTACCTACTTGCACATTGCTTGAAGACAGACTCCATTGAAATGTGTGAATGTTGCAAAGAACAGCATTAGGCAGATAGACTTCTTGGTTTGCGTTGCAAAAGAATGATGAATGAAGGATTTGCCGCACATCCTATTGGGTGATTAATGCCCTTTCATTCTTCTAGATCTAATGCTGGATGATGTAATAATGGAGAGCTCAGCCAGTGCAGTACCAGGTACTGGGAAGTTCTTGCTGTCTTTATCTCACGTGAATGGTGGTGCTGTGTGTTAACGGCTGACCACTAGTGCTTTGAGGCATCTTGCTACACTGTGTGTGGTGGAAGGTCTTTGTTTGTTCCTTGTCACACGCATGTTGTTTTTGTACACCTTTTTAAGTTGAAATATTTGCAGGTTTGACTCACCATTGACAATTGTAGGACCTGAGTTCTGACCCTACCTGTGAGTTCTCTGCATTTTCTAGAAAACTTGGGAGAGAAGAGGAGCCTCATCCACTACTCCCAGCACAAAGTGAAGTGTCTACCTCTGCAAGTTATACCTCTGCGATATACACAGAGAACTGAGGAGAGGGGGAGGGAGTCCTTCACTTAATGCTGGTTGTGAAAGGTTGGTTCCCATTGCTCGGGATCACTACTGATGAGTGTATCGCTGCACACATATGTGCAAGGTTCAAAGTGTATTTGCTACCCCCTCTCCCATTCCTAAATTGCTTTGCAGGCTTCCTCAGTATAATTCGGCTAGGCTTCCTCCAGCAATGCAATGATAGAAGAAACTTTGAATGGCGGGAACTGATGAATGGTTTATTGCACACAATTTGCACACTATTTGAGCATACACTGTATTTCTACAACACACGGAAGAATAGGCCTTACCTTCCTGCTGTCATTGTCACTTTATGGTGGAGGCTGACAGCAGTTTCCTCCAGGAAGACTCCTTCTGGCCTCTGGTCAGTCCCACACAGTCATTTGCTGCATGCAATCATATTGCATTAGTATAATAATCTTAGTATAATGACTGACGGGTAGAATGCGTTCACATAAGCTTTCACTTAAGTAGTCTTGTTATTGATATATTGCTATTTTAAATGCTGTTACTCAAAAGTGAATTCCCCTGAAATCACTGGAAACTACTTCCAAAGAAAGGTGTATGATCCTGCATTTATAGGAATATAAGATAACAGTTTTCAGTGAGGTGGCAGCCCTGTGCCTGTCATTGTTCACCAGTCCCAGCAAGAGACATCTCTGCAAGTTCTATAACCTTCAACCATTCCTCTGTAGTGGGTAGTGTTGAACTTTTCCATTTTTGTGCATATAATAATCTCGCTGCTGTTGTCATGTATAAAAACAAAGTTCCACGATTTGTTTTCTAGCTGTCTATCCATTAGTCCCAAAAGAAAAGCCTCTGGTTTCATTTGAACAGTAGTCTTTAGAATCTTCTTAATTAAAGAGTGTATTTGTATCCAATTATTTTTTTCTTTGTTACATGTTCACCATAAATGATAAAAAGTCCCTTAATTTTGTTCACATTTCCAGCATATATTTAAGATACTTTTGTACATTTTAGTTAATTTCTCTGGTGACATATACCATCAGTACATCATTTTATAAAAATTATTTTAAAGTGGAGCTTAATGTAAATTTAAGGCCCTTCCTCCACATATTTTCCCATTGTTCCATTTCCATATTATGTCCAAAGTTTTAGGCCATTTTATCATAGACTCTTTCACACATTCTTCTGTTTCAAATTTCTACTTTCTGACAAAATGCACCAAATGATCCCTTGGGACCTTTTTATAATCATTTTATATGATTAGGATAGAGAATATATATATATAAAATGATTAGTCATTAGTCATTAGCTTAATTAAAGTTCCATCTATAGTAAAGTTAGTGGAATATCACTATACCTAACAGCTTCTATTACAAACTGGTATTTGTATATTAAAATCAGGTAAGTACAGCTTAAACAAACTTTCAAGCTTATAAAATTCTGTTATTTCAATTTCTTTCCTCTATTTTTCTTTTTATTGAATTTCCATTGGACTTTCAGGACTTTTGGGGTCACAGCCCCTTTTTCTGATTCAGAGTCCTCATCTGGATTACTGCTCGTGGTAGATTCCGAACCTCCTGACCCATATGTGCTGCTTTCTTCTTCCATGTCGTGTTCCTCTGTTGTTTTCTTATCATTCACTGGTCTTTGTTGCAGTTCCAGAAACATCTTCGCTTTTAAGACAGAGTCTATCTTTTCTTTTTTATCTTTGTAGTTGAAGACAAGGGTATTATCCATCTGTATGGTGTAGAATTTTTCTGTAAAAAGCTGGTTAAGGTTTTGTACTGTTTTCTCTTCTTTCTTATTTTGAATGGTATGTCTTTTAAGACTTTAATTTCTTCTTTGATTTTTAGGGTTGTTCCATTTGTGGCCTTGAGCACCATTATCTCCCCAGGCAGGGTTTTTTTCTTGATGAATTCTGGATATGTCCGATAATTCATATCCATATCACTTTGTAATACATCCGCAGTTAAACCTATCATTGGGGCTAACACTTCACTTAAAATTTCCTTCAAATTCTTATCCTTCTGTTCAGGAACACCTTGAAATCTCAGAACAGAAGCTGATTTTTCCATTTGTAGTCTTAAAAGCTGGTCTTTGTTACAGGTCCTCTCTTTCTCCACTACCTTTAGTTTTTGCTTAATTGCTTTTGTCTTGGCTTCAACCTTTTTCACTGATTTTGCTGTCTCCTCTGTTTTTAAATTAGTTTCTTTCAACTATTTTTGGAGTCCTTCAAAGTTATTATTGCGGTTAGTCATCTGATCCAACAGAGGGCGCAATGCTGTAGCCAACATATTGGGAAAGTCAGTATTTACTTCCAGTTTGGCAGCCGGAAGAGCTGATCTTGTAGTTCCAGGAGAGTGATTCAATCTCATTGCCATCTTTTCTGCCCGACTAGTCATTGTTTACAGTTCAGGGAAAGTTTTTAAAAGTCACTGAAAGTTTATTTATAAAGTCACTTTAGTTGAATCTGTGCTTTACTTGATTCAATCCAAAATCACCATATCTCCTAGCCCCTTCTACTGCTTAAACAGTTCATTTAAAGTTGGGTGGGTGAGCAGACTCCCTCCCCCACCGTCATTACCAATTGGGGCTTCGGATGAGCACTTGACCACATAACCAGTTAAAGAGAGATTTCACTCACGCTTCATTCCATGTCAGCTACGGAGGTAGGGAAAACTTATATTTTTGCTAGATCACTTGTTCGCTCATTGTACGCCTCTTGGTGCCATGATGGCGCTGCCGCAGTGGAACCTATTGGGGCAAAGAGGAGCCTCGATCCCTTGGCCATGGCCTTGGGAGAGGCTCCTCCTGCACCCCAGGCTGGGAGTCCCCTCCACAGACTCCAGGGGGGTCCGGAACCGTCCGGTGCCCCTCCCGTCCGCCACGTCACGAGCCACTCCTATCAGAGCTTCGAAGGAGCTTGCCCGCCATTAGAGTTACCGAAACCGGAAGTCTCCCTCGGGACCTTTCTTGAACTGGCAAATCTCGAATTTATTGTATACACTTTGTCAGTTTCAGAGACCATATCTTCTTCTTCCAAATACAAAAAAAAATGCTTTGATAATCCTTTCTCTAATAATTCCATCTGAGGTCTCTGGAATAGATATAAATATTAAACAGAATTCTTTCTCAACTCCAGCAGGGCAGTGTTATCTAATCCTTTTTCTAACTCTTTAGCTGGAATTTCTATTTTAGTTTCTAAAGCTTCCACTTTATCATTAATTTGTTTAAGCTCTCCAGAAATTTGCTTTATAGAGCTTTCCAACTTTCTAATCTCTACTTTCATCTCTTCTTTCATTTTACAAGACATTCTTCTATTTTTTTTACTCATCTGATCAAATAATTTCTGAAGCAATTCAGGTGTAATTGGCTTTTCAGGGGTTTGTTCAATGGAATCCTTTTTTCTGGTAGATGCCATTATCAAATTAAAATCCAAAAGCCAGATCAGGGGAATAGAAAGCGAACAGTTGTTGTTGGGTTTGTTTGGTTTTTGCACACTCAGTTTCCTCAGTCTGTAATCAAATCACCATGACAACAAAGCAACACAGTTCCCATCCTTATCTTCTGTTTATAACAAATAAATAGCATAGTCTTAGACAGTAACAAACAAATAGGCATAATCTTAGACAGTAAACAAGAAATAGTCTCACACAGATCTGATCTGGTGTTTTTCAGCTGGCAACTTTCCCCCCAGAGCACTTCCATCAAAAGCGGTAAAAAATCATAAAAATAAACCTTGTCCCTTATTCCTTTTTTTAGAACTTTCTTGTAACTTTTCCTATTTAAGCTTTTTGCAACAATTTTTAGTCCATAAATCCTTAGAAACTCTTTTATCTTTATAGTCTCAAAAAAAAGGGGGATATCTCACCGCAAGTCATTTTATCTTTGTCATGGAGAAAATCCCTCTTTACCTCTGCAGTTAATTATTTCTACAAGAAGTTAAGAAGGCTTAAACTGACCATTAAAGGCTGCACTGCTGGCTGAGAGTGAAGATTTATACCCAAGCCTTGTGGTGCTCAGACCCAGGCAAGCTGGAAAAAACCTTCATATGTACAGATTGTTTACAGGGAGCTGATGTCTGAAGGATGTGTGGTTAATCTCACGATTTCCCTTTCATCCAAGGAGATAACATCAGCCAGAAATCACCTCCCGGCTGGTGTTCTTAACCACGATGCTTCTCCAGTAAACTGGAGATGCCAGCCTTTCATGTTCCTCATGGGAAGTCTTTGAAGAAGACTTTTCCAACTTGGTCAATTATTTGGTGGTACCAGGGGCAAAATGAATGTGGTTATTTAAAGATGGCTTGCAGGAACTCAACCCTAGACAGGTGCTGAGTTAATCTGAAATGTGATTCTGAGAATGCAATTGATGTTAAAAAAAAAAAAAGGATGGAGGACTAAGATCAGGAAAGGACTTGTTAATGCACAGAGGCATGTCCCCCCCCCAAAAAAAAAGACCAAGTGTGTTTTACTGAATCCTGAATGTTCACAATCTTCCCTTCCTTCTCATTTTATTGAATTCACACATGCATATGCTCTGCACTGGCTATGAAACCACTCTTCTGCCTCCTTTGGGGCATAGGCTAGAGGAACAACTCCTAGAATTTTTAATTTCAGTGTGGTTAGAATGGTTTAGATCACATACCTTAGGAGATGTGCACTTGTTT